ACAAGTTGATCCTTTTCCTTTTGCTCATTGACCAAAAGTCTTCCAATTAATGTAACAACCTACATAACAAAATTACAGTTACATTAAAATTTTACTATAACTTGATCTATTTTAACTAGCACACTTGCTCACCGAACTACTGATCCATTGTCTAGGACTTAGACACTTGCATTCATATCTTGTCACATAATACTGCTCAATCTCCACAATTTTCCTATTACAGAAAACAAAATTGTATCAACCAATCGATTATGAACGGATGAACTAGTAAGGTAGAATATCATACTCATGTCCCTCATTGGGTGGAATAGACTTTGTACAGTATTGGTAAACTTCTTTCTTTGTACATTGTCCTCTTTCTTTATGTCCTCTTTTTGCCTTCCCTCTATCATCCAAAAAGGGTGAACGAATAGTGCTGACTATTTGTCGTTGTGACCGTCTTAGTGTCCTTTCACCCTTAGAGTCTTTTTTTCTAATTGGCTTTTCTACTTCTTCTTGTGCACCCGATTCTCCCTCCTTTTCATTTTTATCTCCTTCTACTTGTCCTTCCTCTTCTTCTTTTTCATCTTCTCTGGATCCCCCTTCCTCTTCATTTTCATCTCCTTCTACTTGTCCTTCCTCTTCTTCCTTCTCATGTTCTCCGAATTCTCCCTCCTTTTCATTTTCATCTCCTGTCTCTTCTCCTTCCTCTTCTTTGTCATCATGTTCCAACTCTTCCTCCTCTTCCTCTTCACCATCATGCTGTTCAACAACTTCCTCTCCTCTTCTTTTATCTTGGAGCTTGAGGAGTCTTTGTGCAATTCCACGTGTAAAGGTCACAATATCTCTGTATACCTCTTTTCTATCCTGCACCATATAAAATGTCATATGTTTAAAATTATATAAAAAATAACTTTGCTAATTAACAACCATCATTTCGCCCTTACCGGATCATAAAATGAAGTCATTTTTGGAAGCTCTACTGAGAAGCTGTCATGTCCTTGAGAAGGGTGATACAAAATGCCATGATCACTTGCCTTCTCAAGTTGAACTCGTGCTGTCACTCTCTCCTCTGTCCAATGTTCCAGAGCATCTTCTTGCGATGACACCACAATTGGCTCTAATGGAAACATTTGAAAGTAGAAAATCTGTATATTTACATCTATATCATATAACCCACAAAATTTTGCAAAATAATTAACTTATAACAAATTATATCTTAATTTACCTACATACCGTAAGAAGAAATAAGCATCCTCCAACAGTTTTTTTGTGCCTATCCTTCTTCTCCCATGCTTTATATTCGGCTACCTCCTTTCCAAGCTCAGATAGTATAAAAGATGACCAATCATAATGTACAGTTTCCAAATTTAACCCGAACATGACTTTCAATAGTTTATCACTTATTTTGGAACTCAAACTTGGACAAAGAAAATCCCCTAAGCAATAGAGAATGAAGAGAAACTCAAATTTATCATTTTCTTTCCCCGAGAGTATCCTGTCCTTAATTACATCATAGGATACTTTTTTAAACTCCTTGTTTAACAACTTTAATTTATTCTTATCCCCATTCATATCAACTATCTCCCCATCATTAGGCGAGCCAAGTAAGGCATGAACTACTTTGTCATTGATGACTTTCCTTTGACCTCTAATGAAAAGGGATGATGTAGGAGGATCAAATGCCTTCATCACTTCGTCGCATAAATCTCTAGGCAACTTGTGACATTTAATATTTAAAAGCTTACCAAATCCTATTCTATTAACCCTATCCCTCAAAGATTTTTGCTTTTTGATATAATCAAAAACTTTCTTCATCTTTGTCGGAGAACACCTTGTCTCAAATAGAATCTTTCCAAGTAAAACAAGTCAGCACCATTACTTGAATTCATCACATTTTTCATGCTTGAGGTCAAAAACAACATACCTCATAAGCTTTTATACCAGCGTTTTCCTCCTTAGCCAGACGCTTATAGTGATCTTGTTCTTTTGATGTCAACTTTTTCCATGCTGCAACTGCTTCTGCGTTGAGTTTTTTCAAATCATTTCCCTGGGTTGTATACTTGCCACGATATGCCTCTTTGAACTTGCTTAAACCAGAACAACTTTTTTGCCTTAAAGGATTTCCTTTTGTTTTAGCCATTATCCTGCACATTAACAATTAGGGTAAAAAACAAACTACTATTGAATGTATCTAACGTCACTAATGAATACACAAAATAATACTATTAGATTTACCAAACATGAAATCTAAATTTTCTCCATAGAACATGCGAGGGTCAGGGAAAGTCATAGTCACAACCTCCTTAACTTCACTAATTTTTTGGTCAAGATTGCATTCGTCTTTTACACAAGCAAATTTTTAAGTCGAAAGAACCTTGCCAAACTTTTATTTTATGAGGACATTATAAGAGCTTTAATGTCAAATTAAGACTTTTCAACATTGATGTTTCTAAATTTCAATACTCCTTCAACCATGTTTCAATATTAAAATTCCTTATTTGGCATTAATGTTATTACAAGCTCTTTATTTGTCATTCTCCCTTATTTTTAACTATTTTATTAGTCTATAATATCTTATCGACCTTTCTGCTACAATCTATATATATGTTTTTCTTCTATTATGAAAAGGAAAGCTTTTCCAAATCCAGAGACCAAACACCAAAAATGCCAATGTAGAACCTAAGTTTCGGTGCAACACATGGAAGGAATCAAGGAAGAGTCCAAAGTCCTTGTTAAGCAGTGCCTTTCTCCTTTTTGTAACGGCCCTATGTTTTAAAATAGCCAACTGTGGGCCGATTTTCATTGCTTCTTGAAAGACACATAACCAACTGTTACAAAATTTCCAGTTCATTGCCAGTATATGTGCTCAGCTAGCAAAAGAACAGAACAAAATAAATTCATCTTACAACATAAAAATACCAGACGAACAAAAGGCTTCTCACTCTTTCTTCCCAAATTCATGGCAAAATCATAGAATAGAGCAAAAAATCAGGTTCGAATATCGCATAAATATAAACAAATATGGAACTATTTTGGGATCACAAATCAATATTACTGCAGTTTCTTCTCTTTTGCAAATACCTTACTGGAATGACACTAGGAAAAAAAATACACAATCAATAACAAACACAAAATCATTCTCGCCCCCACCGAAGAACAGACCGAGGGATGGAAGGAGAGAGAGAGAGGCAAAGAGAGGCACCGAACCTGGAAGAAGAGAAGAGGGGGTATCGAACACAGAGCACGCACACTGGACTGAAAATGGGAGCAACAATAGAGGACCTCTCACCAGCGATTGCGCACCCCTGGACCTGATACAGAGAGCCCGATCACCGACTAAGCAGCCGGCCGAGCTGAAATAGAGGAAGACGACGAGAAGGAGCAACTGAGGAAGACACCGAAACAGAGCAGGAATAGGGCTCTCTCATGCGCGGTACCTTTGTTTTGAGCTCAGGGGCATTTTTGACAATTCAATGTTTTTTTTTATCCCCATTAAGGACCACGGTCCTTATTTGAGATTTCTATTTTTCAGGATTCCTATTTGAAATTAATATCCTTAGGGGGTCCTTAACTGTCATTCTCCCTTTTTTTTTAAATAAGTCTAACGCATTTCCAGGTGGAAGATCTAAGTGACACGTGGATATACACGTTGGCAAAAATAGTCAAGACACATACACTTGCGGTCAATGTTCAATAATTTAACGGCATGACAATGGGTGATTTAGTTTTAGAAGTTGAAGGGGTTGATTGGATGAAACAATAGTATACAGCACTGGATGATCCTATGAATATAATTCAGAGACAAAAATGAGTGTTTACTCAAAAAAATAAAAATGTTAAACAAGTTTCTAGATACTTCATAGTATTTACCACATTTTGTAGTACTTTGTTATTTGCCGATTTTAATGGGATTTATTTATTTTTCTCCCATTGGTATATTGTTCATTGATACGTATATTCCTCTCCACATTTACGCACGATTTGTTATCATTGGTCAGATAATCCACGGCAATATACACAAAGCTAGTACTGAAACAAATAAATTTGCTTTTAATAACATCTTATTTCTCTTGTAATTGTTTAATCAAAACCCATCGATTTCTTTCCTCTAGTATATTTGATGTTCCAAAGCTGAATTAAAACTTATTTTCAATAAAGCGTCAATTTGGATCTGAAATGGAAGTAGGGTATTCACATGGCCCAAATTTGATTAACAATTAACAATATTGATTAGAATAAAAATGGGAAGTTAGATATTTTGAAATTCAAATATAATCAAAATTGATTCAATCTTTCACTCAAACACCACCACACCCATTTCTTCTTCCTCATTTTCGATAAACATGCAGAAATGGATGCTACTGAAAAAAAATCTACCAGAACACGTATATTGAAGGGTTTCAAACAAAAAACGCTCCAAATTTAAAGTATGAAACATATTGGAGTGTTTGAAAAACCAAACACTTTGGTAAGCTTACACTTACAGGAACTTTTTAGACTATAAAGCACTCACGTATGTTAATTTTATCATACAGAAGCATTTTTACTTGGAAAAGCTCCCGTGAGGTTTTAAAAATTTTAAACAAAACATTAAGAATTTTAAATACTTATAAAATATAAATTATTATTTTGCAAAAGTAATTTTATTATATAATTGAATTTTTCAAAAAATGAATTATTTTTATATATTTGAAATTATTACAAAATAAATAATTATTATTATAAAATTGAAATTAATTTTAAATTATTTGTAAAGCAAAATATCCGGAACATTTTATAACAAAAAAAAAGCCCTTATATACTACTTTTTATTTTTGTTTTATTTTTGAATACCTACAAGAGCTTTGCTTATTAAAAAAAAGCTCTTGTAGATTAGAAAAACACAATAACGTTTTATCTATAAAAAGGCTCTCATATAATAAATTTTTATTTCTTTATTTTTGAACCCCTACCAGAGCCCTTCTTATAAAAAGAGCGCAGGTTAGGACACACAAGATCTTTTTATCCTAGAAAAGCTCCCGTATCCTTTTTTATCTTTTATTTTTGTTCAAGTGCTTCACTCACCACACCACTCCATTTCTTCGACTGAGTTTTCTTCAGACTTCATTTGTTCATTTTCTTCGACCAGACCAGACCACTCTTTCTCCATCTTCGACCACACTTTACTCCATATTTCTCCAACTCCCTTCATTTTTGCGTTCAGATTTTAGACACTTTCGTCCGCGCCCTCCTTCTTTTCGCCGTCGTCCGCGGAGTTTGGGTTCGGTGCTAAACTTTGGATTTGTCGAGTCCACCATCGTCCGCATCCTTCTTCCTTTTGCCGTTCTGGGTCCTTCGTCCTCATGCTTGAGTCTAGGTTTGGGTCCGTCATCCCTGTGTGCTTAAGTTCCCTGCTGGAGAAGCCGTGGTCCGTGCATCACCCCCTTCAAGTGGGTTCAAATCTGGAGGTCTGTGTGAGTCCGTGTGCTCGAGTCTGGGTGGGTTCGCTCCTTTAAGTGCATTGCTCCTTCAAGTGGATAACTCCTTCACTTTTTACTTTTGTGAAATCTTGTTTAACTGCATATTTTGTGATCTGGATAGCTCCTCCTCCTTCGATGATTCCGCAACCCATTGTCGTGTCTCCTCCTTGTTCTAGACAGTGATTCAGGCTCCTCTTCCTTGTTCTAACATCTTGTCTGCGTCACCAATTGTGTGCTCTAGATCTGAAGCTCATCACCGTTCCTATTTCACCCACATTTGAAATTTGCTTTAACTTTTAGGCTCTGAGCTAGCTACCTCAATCTTTGCCTTTAATCTAGAAGAGAAAAAGGCCGTGAATTACGTTGAGGATTGGATCTATTTTCTTTACTGATTTGATCTAGGAATTTTCATATGCTTCTAATGCTCAGGAACTCACTGAAGTCTTGGGGCGCATATATCAAAGGTTTCATCTCTTTCCTTTGCCTTGACATGTTCTTCATGGAGTGGATTTTGCTTGTGAAATGCAAGATGTCCTTGATTTTTACACTCATATGCTGTATTCAATGTCTTGACTGCAGAGCTAGAATTATTGCTACCTAACTAACAACTATGCTGTTTTACTTTTTGATAAGAAGTTGATACATGCATTTAGTGGGTCAATTTGGTTATTTTGCACTAGTAATTTACTTTATAATTATACATATTTGGCAAACTTGCGCCAAGCATTCAATAAGTAAAACTTTGATTTTCCTTGTTTTGGGAATAAGGGATGCATATGATTATGTAGATTACTAAAGTTCTGGGTGCTATTGATTATTGATTTTCGCTTGAAGTTAATTAACTCTGGTTCATATCTATTGGCAAAATAATAAAAAAGGAAATGTGGCTGCTCGGCGTTTAACTGTGTAATCTGGCCACTGGATTAGATTTTTGTTTCTTTCTTAAAGACTTAATTGTATAACCAAAAGGTTACAACCAATATATCACATGACTTTAGTATTTTTTGTGCTTGTTATTTCTGAGAGGCATGAAACTTAGGATTAGGCCCTGCATCATAATCAAATCAAGTTGAGAAAACACTTAAAGAAGCTATGGTTCCTACAGGAAAAGCAAGAGAGGTAAAATCCAGTTCTACATGCCACTTGTTGTTCTTGGTTGGTTTTAGAAAATATGTCTCCTTAGTCTTGAGAAAATGTTCCAAGTTTCCAGATTGAATTTGGATGGAAGTTACCCTTGTTTGAAGTTGAAGGAACAGCTTTGGAGCACATATTTCAGAGGCTATATGCCTACATATTTGACATGGGTGTTGAGGGAAATTACGTCGTAGAGATGGATAGACCAGAGCCAATCACAATATTTATAGTAAACTTTGACAAGGTATAAGTGGTGCTTTGCTTTATAAAATGCTTTCCTTTCTTTGTATTAAACTGAAGTCAATTTATGTCAAATTCAACCAAACTACCTGCAATGCTTAGAAGTTTTAGTTGGCTGACTAATATAAATGGAAAAAAATTAGTGAACGGATGAATTGGTTTTTCTTGTTTCTACTTTGCTCAGACAACGATTGTCACTGGGTTTTCATTTCTTTTTCTCACTAAATTCTTGGTAAACAGGTAAGAATGGTTCCTTGGAATAAAGAAATTGATCTTGATAGTTTAATGTGTGGGAAACTTCCTCAGCTAACTGGGGATAATATTACAAAACAAGGAGATTTCATTTATCATTATAACTACAATGGGGGAATCCCAAGTTTGGCTAGGGTCTTGCAGGTATGAAGTAATTTGGTGCTGAACTTATCTTTGTGTGTATAATCCAATTGCTAGCCAAAATCTGTTTCTAGTGTATGCTCAAGGAACTATCATTCCAATTTCCAAGTGAATTCTTGTTTTGATGTTTCAGCTATCAGACCTGGACAACAAAACCATCTTCACTTATCATGCTGTTAGTGTATTATCTTTCTTTATATGTGTTTTTCTATAGTTAGATGATTTAACAACAAGAATACTACTTATAATGATTTAATAACAAGAATACTACTTATAATAAGTACTTGTAATGATCTCACAAGTTAATATTTTGTAATTGTTTGACATAGCCTTCCATGTAATTTAGTGTTTATTGAGACAATGGATGCTGGTGATTATATACTCTTCATCATGTATCCTTGTAGAGATAATTAAAAAACTTTTAGCATGTCTTCTGCTGACAGCTTAATCTTTTAGACTCATAGTAAAGTGTTGGTGTGCCTTATATCAACCTCAAGACAATTAAACTTTGCTGAGCCTTTTTAATAGAACACTTTTAAAAATTGTCTTCTACATTAACTCATACATATAGAGATCAGAAAACAAAAAATAAGTTTATCAGTCATAGGGTAGGTCTCCTTTGGCAAGTTATATATGCTGTAAAATTCATATGACCTGTTTAAGTGGTTTGCTTTGGTCTTTTTATATAAAACACTTTTAAAAATGATCTTATGCATTAATTACTTTTTCACAAAAATACCCTTCATTGCTTCACATTTAATTGATTATGTGGAAAAATTAACTATGATAAAATTAAGATGTGAAATTTCCATAGTTTTCATGGTGATTATTGACTTCATCTAAAACAAAGTCATCTCATACTTGCTGGTATATTAGATGAGACTAGATATCTTGTATACAAATACACTAAACACAAGAATTTGGTACACTTCTTGATACCCAATATTATAAAATTAACATAACTGCCTACCAAAATCTTCTTGAAGTTGTAAAACCATGTATGATTAAACACAATCATCATATAGTTTTATCCCTGATTTTGTCTTTGTTATTTGTTTTTAGAACCTTTCAGTATGTCCTGGTCTGAACTCTGGTATTATGACTAAAAAAAAGGTGTTCAGACAAGTTCATGATGACAAAGTCATCACGTATTAATTCCTTTATTTTTATTATGATTATTATTATTTTTTTAAAGAAGGAAAACATATAGAAAATGCATTGCCAATCATGTATTATGATTATTCTTATTATGATTATTGAACAGGTGAGTTTGTTCATAATTAATATGATATTTATGATTTAACTAAATTATTTTTCTTTAATATATTTTGCAGATAGAATATGATTGGGTACTTTTCAACTAAGTAAGAATGGTGTTAGATGCACTTGTTTGTACTATGTAAGCACGGGAGGATTGAAAATGTTTTTGAATTCTTTGGTTGTAATTTATATTATAATCATGTATATTATAGCATTGAATAAATTAGTTGTTGATCTCTTATATATATACTGAAATTGCTTATTGCTTGTATACTTGCATTAATTATATAAATAATTTTTTCTATATTGTTTATGACGTACAAAGCATGCAAGGAATAGTAAATGAATTAAATTTTTTTTTAGAAAGATAGACCTACGGGAGCACTGACCAATTCCGTTGAATAGGAAGCTTCTCAATTTCCATGGATGCTAAAATGAATGAAGAAAATAAGGACAAAAGGCACTATGTTCTGGTGCACGGAGCTTGGTGCTGGTACAAGCTCAAGCCTCAGCTTCAGTCTTCAGGCAACAAGGTCACAGTCCTGGACTTTGCAGCTTCAGGCATCAACCCCAAGAGAATAGAAGATGTTGGTAATTTTGCTGAGTATTCTGAGCCTCTTTTGGAGTTGTTGGAATCATTGCCTCCAAGCGAAAAGGTTGTTCTTGTTGGAAACAGTTTTGGAGGGTTGAGTTTAGCACTTGCCATGGACAAGTTCCCTCACAAGATAGCACTCGCTGTTTTCGTAGCAGCTTTTGTTCCTGATACTCAACACCCACCTTCATGCATCTTGGACGAGGTATGGTTCAAGGTAGCCTTCTGTTATTGATGTTGCTAGGTAACTGATGGAAAAATGTTAGTTAAATTATTGAATTATTTTCTTATGAAAAAGAAAAAATTTTAGATGTTATGGGTCTTAGGGACTCACTAGGGCTAGAGCATATTTTTAAGCTCTAAAAGTGCTTAGAGATATATTTATAAATCTCTCTTACCAATAAGATTTTCACATCAATAACGAAATTTTGTTCCATGATCTTTTGGGTTGTTGGTCAAATCCTTAATTTATATAAATTACATTGAAAGCCAAGTCAAACTTGAATTATAAAAGTGTAACATATTAAGCAGTTATTTTAACTGCCTTGAATAAAATTACTCCCTCCAGTGTTATTTACAAGACACTTTATAGACGTAATTTTTGATTCAAAATATAGGATATTTTATAATAATTAAATTATTTTTTTTTAATTTTACCCCTTCTTGATTAGTATGAAGTTATTTAATGTAACTAGCCACAATCCCGTGCATCGCACGGGTATACCTGATAAAAAGAACTAAATTTAAGTAATGATAATATAGTTCATATAATTATAGTCATAATATGTGGCATGTGGTGAAGAAAGAAATGTGATAATACTTAACAAAAACTATTGTATTTGGCCACAAAAGAGTTCAATAAGGAAGTCATTATTCACTACATAAGCAGCAAAAAAAAAACAATGTTCATAAACAAATCATGCATTTATAGCTTGAAGGTTTTGAAAGATCTCATAAAAGATCACATTGGTAGTGGTTGACTTAGCTTGTTGATCAATGTCATGAATCAATATTCTCAACCCATTTATGCTTCTGACTCTAGAAAGTGCAACATACAGTTGGCCGTGTGTGAAAATTGGTCTTGGCAGATAAAGACCAACATTGTACAATGATTGGCCTTGACTTTTGTTTATTGTCATTGCAAACGAAAGAATGATTGGGAACTGTCTTCTTTGCATGCGGAAAGGCCATCTATTTTCAGAAGGATTCATATCCATCCTATGTATAAGAACCTTTTGATTTGGGCTTGAACCATTAAGTGTCACTGCTTCAATTACACATTTCCCAAGCTTTGTGATTCGCAATCTTGTACCGTTACATAATCCCGACGCTTGGTCAACATTCTTGAGAAGCATTACCGGTGCACCAATCTTGAGTGTAAGTTTATGAGGAGGTAGACCAGAACTATTAATTGTGTTAAGGAACTCAGTAGTGTAAAGATTCTCGAATGAGTCACTTTCTTGTGATGATCTGCAAACAGAATCACAACTGAAATATTCTACCGATTCACCAGGCAAAATACCACACATGAATTCATTTATCTGGTTAACGCACTCAAGAGTTGGTGCAAGGATTGCCCGATCATTGAAATATGCTGTGTTGGACAAATTATCCAATAAGTCTGGGTATGTAGATGACACAATTGCAGCCAAAGGATCCTTGTATGAAGTAATCAATATCTCTGATGGAATTTCAATATCTACAATGCCATCATTTGATTCTCCAACCCTGCCATCTCCAATATCTAGTAACCATTATGAGAATTTCTCTATTTTTTCACGATCAGAAGAGGATGAAGATGATGTCAACCGCATGTTCTTCGTCAATTTATATATTTTGCAATAACTCCACAAGTACGAAGAACTTATGGATGCATTGACAATATCTGCCCTGCTACCTTTAGGAATTACAGGTAGAATTTGAAGAAAATCACCTCCCATGACTATAGACTTCCCTCCAAATGGTAGATCACAATGCATTATATCTTTGAGTGAGCGATCAAATGCTTCTATACAATGGCGACGTATCATTGGAGCTTCATCCCAAATGATTAATTCTGTTTGTTGCAACAAATATGCAAGTGGGGATCTCTGGCTGATGTTACAGACTGAATCTTCATTTATATCAATTGGGATTGCAAATCTTGAGTGTGCAGTTCTTCCTGATGGTAACAAAGTAGCTGCAATTGCACTTGATGCAACAGCAAGAACTATCTTCCCTTTAGAACGCAATGTTGTAGTTAGAGCATTCCATAAAAATGTTTTACCAGTACCTCCATAACCATATACAAAGAAAAAGTTACCAACATGTGAAGATGTAGAGGCAATTATTCGAAGCCAAGGATAAATATAAAAGTATATCTCGCTTTTTTATTATATCAAGAAAATAAAATTAACTTTTCTTAAAATACATAAAATGGTTTGAAAGTAAGGACCGAAGGAGTATTTTCAATAGAAAGAGTATGTAATAGCAAAAAAAGAAAATAATGCAACTTTCAGCCTCTTGTCAAGTTTATCTCAATTATCAATTTAATTTTTCAAGTTTAATTTTAATCAATTTAGTCCCTTACGTTTATATTTATTATCAATTTAGTCTATATTATTTTAAAAAGAAGTTACACTATTAATATTTACTTACTTGGAAAATAGAATATTGATAACAGCTATATAGGTTAATGAAAATGAGTATCATTATTTAGATAGAGAAAAATAGGCTTTAATTTTTTTTAAAAAAAAATAAGAGAATATACACATTGTAAGGAATTATATTGATAAAAACTAAACTCATTTGAGGGTTTATTTTTTTCTCATTTAACTACACACACATATATATGCTAAGTTATTAATATACTTTGTACATTAAATTATTTTGGGTCAAGTTGTGTTTTAAAACTTAAAGAACACATGTGGTAATTTAAAAAAATATAAGATCAAACTGATAAAAATTAAACTTACAGTACCAAATTGATAACTGAGACATAATTGAAGGATTAAAAGTTTCATTATCCTAAAAAAATTGATTAGTTATATACTAACAGACCATTTGATATGAAACATGGCAATTAGCACGCTGAAAGAAACCAAACTAATGGCAATGGAATGTTGGACAATGAGTTACCGCCCAGTGGAAGCTTAACATTATTCGGACCCAATTTCTTACGTAAGAATCTCTATCAACTCTGCTTCTCTGAGGTGCGTATATGCCTTGTTGCATTAATTTGAATCCCATGTTGACAGATTGAACTGACCTTTAATTTTCGATCTGTAGGATCTTGAACTGGCCAATACTTTGGTAAGGCCATGTTCGCTTTTTCTTGAAGAACTGAGGAAGGCCAAGAGCTTCAGCAAAGAGGGATATGGGTCAGTTCCGGTTGCTTATATTGTGTGCAAAGAGGACTTGGCGATTCCAGTGGAGTTTCAGAAATGGATGGTCCAAAGTGCTTGTATTCATGAGATTGTGGAAATCACGGATGCTGATCATATGCCCATGCTTTCGAACACGTATCAACTTTGCTTGGATCTCCTCCACCTTGTTAATAAGTATACCTGATTTCATTCTTGCCTCCCAGACTTAATTACCTTGTGTACTTTTTTTTTTGTGTTTTCCTTTTTATTTTGATAAAAAAGCAAATTTACTTTTAAATTATAGGTCCAACAGCATTGTGTGAGACTTTAAACTTATTTTTGGTGTTATGCTTTCACTATTATAGAAATGAACTTTGATAGTGTTTAAAATTTTAGTTTTGTGATATTTATAAAACACTATAAAATTCAATACTATAATAAATATCAAGTGGCATTTCATTAATTATTGAAGCATCACAAGATTGATGTAAGAGCAAAGGCGTTTTTTTTTTTCCCTACCAATGCCACCTCTTTTAAGTTTCTTTTTTTCAAAAAAAAAAAAACTAAGAAGGTGACATTTTTTCTTGATTGAAATTCACCTTTGTCCTTTCCCAAATTAATAGAGCTGACATTTTCATAAGTATAAACGCCATATCTGTGATATATTTTTTAAAAATTAAAAATTCAATAGGTGGCATTTTTACAATTTGAAAACATCACTTTGATTTATTTTTTTTTTTTTAAATTGAAAGCATATAGTGGTGGTTTTGAAAGATTGAAAAGCCACCTATTGTTCGTCTAAAGAGGTGGCATTCCTTTCATGAATGCCACCTCTTTGGTGATTTTTTTTTATATTTAAAATGTACATTTCTTCACAATAGAAATGTCACATAATGTTATTTTTTAAATAATTTTATAAAATTTAATACACCCAAATCTTTTACTAGTACAACAGATCAAATAATATATAAGTAGTTCAGCAATTTGTAAAAAATCCAACCATACAATAAAAATGTACACATTGCAAGACAACAAAGAAGTTTACAACTATATTAATATTTTTAAGTTCTCTAAGTAGGTCAAGAGATCTTATAAAAAGATCTAATACTCTCTAATCTAACTTTATGAAGCAAATAAATTTATTTTTAATAATTCAATAAAATCATTCAAGTATATATATACTATGATCTTTGTCTATTGATAACTCTTTGAGAAGTCTTTATTTTGGAAAAGGCGACTTCTTTGTGACCTAAAAAGTTGTCAATGCCCTACCAAAATAGAGATAAATTAACTAATGATAATTGATGCAAATATATATATATATATATATATATGAATATGTAAAATAATTCTTATAAATATAGATAGAGGATTAAGACAATAAATTAAAGGCAAAAGAACAACCAAATAATTGATAACAATCAAAATTCAATATTTTCTAAAAAAAATGTAAACTTTGATTATGTTTTAATAAAATTGATGTATCTAACACATCAAGAAATTAAAGAAATAATTAATAAAATGCTTACCCAGCATTGTAAGGTATTAAGAATAACATTTTTTTTTTTCAACTTTTTCTTTCTTTGTGAACATTTCTGTTATAAGATTTACTTATTTAGATGCATTCAACATTGACTCATGACTAATATTATGAGAACTAATGAATGAAAATATATTCTCTTTTTTCGTGCCTTTCAAAAAAGAAATGTATAAATACCTTGATAAATAGCAGAGAAAATTGTATTAAAATCAATCATATGATACGAAATAAAACAATCAATATCAAAGGATGTTATGAAACAAGCACCTTATTCACATGTTGATAGCAAAATTACTCACCCATTCTCGATTAAGTATTTCCATCATTGTATTTCTATCAAGATATTTCCAACTATCTTTGCAATATATTTCTTCTTCAAATTTTATTGCAATTGTTTGGCCATCAACAGTAAGCTTTGGCAAAAGAGATCGAAGAGCTTCACGATAATTACTAGCCCTTTTCACTTTTGAAGCTCCATGGGATATACTTTTTTGTTTATTCATAGTATTATATTCCTTAAAGATATTACCATGCGCTTCAATTATTTTTTTGTTCTTTGATTTTGATTGAGTATGTAAAAATCAAAAAAATTAAGTCATATAATTATAATTACATCTAGAACATTATAAGGAAGTGTGAAACATAATTACCTTGTCAAATGACTTAATGAGTGTCATACCCGAAAATGCGACGCGAATGGCGCGAGAGCAGAGGTTCCGGGCCTTTGGAAGGAAAACCGGAGAAATGGGAGTCGCCACCAAGATTTTAAGAAAAATCTCAGAAAACCATTTAAAGGAGGATAAGGGTGATCTGCGAAAACAGAAAATAGGTTCGGGAGTTGATTGAGTGTGGGAAAGGTGTTAGGCACCCCACAACACCCATTCGTGAGAACGGTTACCTAAAGTTTGTTGTGCGATATCAATATGGTTTTAAAAATTATTTTAATTATTCCTTTTATATTTATATGTTCGATATAAAAAAATAAGAATTAAGTGAGAAATGTTTATTTATTTATGGGGAGGACTTGACTCAGAATCCGGGTCTAAGGCCTACGTACCCTTTGATAGGGATCAAAGTCCATGTAGTTCGGGCTTTATAAGTTATTGGTGAAAATATTTTTGAAGAGAAATTAATTAGAAATAATTTACCATTTTGCAAATAAAACAATTTCTGAAATTTTAATATGTGTGTTTTAAATTGCAAAAAGTGATTTAATTTCAATAATTTTCTCAATTTTTAAATTTTTTGTTGAAATAAAGAAAAGAGTTTTAAAATTATTTTCATGTTTTATTATTTTCTTAGAAAATTTAACTGCTATACCTGCAGAGCCTTATTAGCTCATATGATAATATAGTTATTTTAAATATCTACGAAGATTTCAAAATCTCACGATAAAAGGGTGAAATAATGTAAATATTTTAAGTACATTTTTAATGTGTAATTATACAATTTACATTTTTAAACATAAAAATCTTAATTACTATACTTGCGAAGTCTTATTGACTTTTACGGTGAGATGATTATTCTAGAGGTTTATAGACATTCAAAAATCTCATATGACCAAAAGGCATAATTAGTAAATATAATTGTGATTTAAATTTATTAATTTAATTAATTAATATTATAAAAAATGTTTATTATTTTTTTTACAAAATTCATATAATTTGAGAATTATGATATCTGTGAGGATTTATTATCCTACACGATAAGATAATTAATTTAATTCTCCACAAAGATTTTTTAAATCTTCATGTGAGACTTAAATATTTATTATAAAAAAAAATTAATTTTAATGATGAGTTTTTGGAACCCATATTATTATACAAAATTGATCCTCATACCTGCAAAATCTGATTGATTTTCACGATATATGATCATTTTTAATCTAAATGTTTGCAGGGATTCTTGAAATCTCATGCTGCAAATAGATTTAAATATTATTTATTAAGAATTTTACAACCAACAAATAATTGTGAAGCTCACCGTCAGAAATAATTTCAATGATAGCCTAAAATATGCAAAAGGACAAGGAGAATCCCAAAATGTATAACTTGGTACAATGTCACACAAAATAAATCATGTGATCTATATAAATTTTGAAATTTCCTAATTACTCCATTAATCTCACATATTAAGCTTTGAAGAATGAACAAGCAAAATTATTACCCCTTTGATACTAAACCATTACTCTCCACGTCATCACCTTCCATCTGATCTGTCAGCTTCTCTCTCTTCCTCCTTCGTTCACTTCGCCTCTGTTTCTCTTCTTCTCTCCAGTTTTTCTCGCCTCATTTTTCTTCTCCTTCTTTTCTTCTCTGCTTTGGTTGCTCGGTAGACTGGGTCTTCCTTGGCTACTGGCTCACTGGCTCTGGCGGTATCCTATTGTTTCTTACCCATGGTTGAGTTTGAAGCTGAAGCTGTAAACAACTCCTGCAAATTCCAGAATCGTGTGAACCCGTGCCAATAGACCCATTCATGCTCTGTTTTAACATGCCCTTTTTTGCATGGCTGTCTCTTTTTTTTTGCATGCTCTCTCCCTCGTTTCCTCAGCTTTCCTCTCAACCCCGTGCTCTGTTTTTTTTCTTCTTTTCCTCTGTACCTCTCTTCTCTGGTTTTTTGTTCGTCCTCGTGCTCGTTTTCTTCTTCTTTTTTTCTGTCTTGCTCTGTTTTTTTATTCTTGGTCTTCCTCTCTCAGTCTCTCTCTCTTCTAGTTTTTTTTTTCTCCGTCTCCTCCTCCTTCTTCCTTTCTTTCCTCTAGTTTTTATTCTTGTCTCCAGTCCTCTCTTCCCTGTCACTATTTTTTTCGTCTCTCTCTCATCTCTCACTCTTCGTCTTCTTCTCATTCTCCATCCTCTCTCGGACTCTCTCCTCTGTCTCTGTTATCCTTTCTCAGTCTGTGCCTCTCGTCCCCAGTTCTTCGCGTGTTCTCCGTCTCTCCCTCCTCCAGTCTTGCCCCTTTTTTCGTGCTCTTATTCTCTAATGTTTTATACTCTATTTTTTTTCTTAGCTTTTCTGCTTTTCGTGCTCTGTTTTCCAGCATCTTTTCTGTGCATGCGTGGTTGTGTGTTTTACTTTTCCCTTGTTCTTTGGCTTTCCATGTTACGTTTTTTGGTGTTGGTCTGTTGTTCTAGCTTTCCTTTTCTCTGCGTCTGACTCTGGTTTTGTGTGTGGCTTCTTTTTTTCTGTGTGTTTTCCTCTTCTTCGTACGATCTTGCTCTGGTTTTCATTTCTTTTTCTTCTATTTTCTTTCTCTACGTGTTCTGCTTTGCTTTTTCCTTCTGTCATGTCTGGTCTTCGTATGCATTCTGCTTTCGTGTGTGTGTTGCTGTTGCATGTTTCTGTTCCTTCTTGTCTTGCGTCTATCTGAAAGGTTGAAGTCTATGTTTCATGTGTTTGCTTATGCTTTCTGCGTGCTGTGCTTGACTGCCCAAGCTGTGATGCCAGCTTTCTTTTTTTTTTTATTTTTATTATTTTTTTGATTAATCATTCTAATTAATGCATGCATGCATGCATACATACATACATACATATATATAATATGTATTTAAATGAAAATAAGATTTGAGGAGAGTTTTCTCTCAAAAGTAAACTCCCAATATTCTTGAATGATTGGGATAATTTAGGAGAGATTTTCTTCCTCAAGATTTAACCTTTCTTTTTTTTAATTTTGTTAAATTATCATTATTATTATTTTTTTTGAAAATATATTCTTAAAAAGGGATTAAATTTCATTTTTTTAATATTTTTATATTTTTTGTTATTTATTATTAAATTAAAA